TCCATTTAGTATCTACATTAAATGTAAGGATTTTTAAAAATCATTTAGATTCGTCAAAACTTACCCTCTAGAAACAGAGTGACTTTGCCGTAGGACTGACTTCAAATCAACACCATCCATCCGGCTCCTCCAACTTTGTCTATGCTTTTCCAGCAGATCTGCCTTTGGTTAACCCGTTCCATCTCCCTGTTTCCCTCATATTCATCCATATTAAGTACGAATAAACATACAACCAAAGAGTTTTGTTTTATCTTTAGATATTAATATACTTTTTTAAAACCATATATTTCAAACCTTTTATATTTTTATTGTGCCACATAATAAATTTTGAGCACATTTAATCTAATTAGGGTCTGATCATTATATATATATATATATGTATAAATGAAAAATGTTTTTTTAATGTCTATTACTAATATATATGATACTTTAATTTAATTGAAAAACTCAGAAATAGCAAATATCGGATCAAGAGTAAGCCATAATGATCATAATTTACTGTATTTAGACTTATTAATTTTCATTCTATAATTGTAATTGCTATAAAGATATTTTTTATCGAACTATTAATTTTAGATACAGCATCAGGAGGGAAGTAAACGAATGGGGTCTCTTTGCGAAGATCTTGGTAACTGGAGGAGTTTTATTCATCCACAATATCTCAATTGTTACACATTTAATATTAATGAAAGATATAGAAGCAAAGTTCGCACCTTTGAACTATATGCTTATCTAGATGAACCAAATAATCTTACTTCTTGTATAGACTGCTTCAACGCGGAAATAAAATCACAATTGTCTGGATATACAATAACAGTACACAATGCATATACCCATCCCGATGTGAATAATGAAGGCATAAACTTACTTCCAGGGACATTAACAGAAATAAAGCTAAAAACTATCGAAAACATTTGGAAATCACCACCTCATGGACACTGTAGTCCAAATACACCACGAGATATGATTATACAATCAAATGATAATGATACTTATGTATATTCTGAATATGCCTGCAGGGGAGCAACCATACAGGTATCTCTTATTCTGATGCATTATAACAAATTACAAACCAAAATAATTATTTATTTTAATTCATTTAAAGGCTTATTAACATTAGGAAAAAGAGTCAGTTTAAATTTTCTCAAAGAAACTGTGTATATGATTAGAAAAATACCCTTTACGCTAAAGATATGACTAAATCAATTCAAAAAATAGGCTTGGATATGTCTATCATATTTTTGGAAAAAGGAAATGTTGTTAAAACAATGGAGATTATCATTTTCCTGTGATTTGATTATACCTAGATTTTGGATTAAATATTATGTATGAAAAATTAGTGAAAATATAGTTCAAAAATAAGCTAGCAAAAAGGAGTACTTCAATATATCTGTGAGAAAAGAGCTGATTATCTAATAGAAAAAATATTTTTATATAAATATATTATTAACGTGCGAAGGGCAGGAATATTTTGAGAAGTAGCTGAAGCTAATTTTACCTATCCAGAATGAAATGTCAAAAAATATAGGAGTACATTTCATTTCGTTTGAAGAGGCGAGCGGAAGGGAGTCGTATGTTGGTCCCACCGGAGACTGGGGTGGGGGGTAACCGCAGAGCTGTGCTTGGAGATTTATGCAAATATGTTCTCGGTACACCACCCTGCGACCCCGATGAGCCCTTGCTGAGCTTTCGTCCGTCATGTGATGGACATCGTCAGAGCAGGACACCATGCTTAACGATAATTGACCAAAAACACGAAGGCAAGAAAGGTTACCGGCTTCAAACCTACTTCCTTCTTATCTTCCAATTTTGTATCTCATATTTTGGTTTGATATCCTATGCTTTGTGTCTATATTTGCTCATAAGTTCAGTTAAGTGGCTGCGGAGGACATGTGAAGTGGCTACAGTGCAAGTAAAACCGAATAGCTGCATCCTCCCCTAAAACGTATTTGCCTTTGATCCTGCAATGTTACCGCATGTGATTGCGCCCCCTTGCACACATGTTGAGTTAAATGACCTAACTTATGAACAAAATAGAGGCAAAGTATAGGTTGGTACGCCGACGGCGTTTTTGCACAAATCTACAACCACAGCTTCAAGCCAACCCTCCCCCAGCCTCCGGTGGAGCCAACTTACGAAATACTTACATTTGCCTCTTCAAACAAAATGAAAGATTCTCCAACATAAATACATTAATGGATTCTTCGAAACCAAGCTTTTCTACATGTCTACATTAAAAATATGTTTGATTCAATTTATTCTCTAAATACTATATTTTAGGCTGCTCGCCATTTTTTATTTACTCTGATAAAATATCAGTAAATTTTATTACAATCGAGAATTTCTTGCATCTATCTATAATGCTCAAATAAAAATAAATCATCATGTATCGAAATTTAATATTTTTAGTTTATCAAATTCTTTCCAAATAGAGACGTCATGTATATATGAGACGATTCCTTCTAACTTACATTTTCGAAATCTTTCAACTATTACAGGTCATATTTTAATATATTTACATTTAAGTTAATCTTCTTTTGAAAAATAGTTGTAGTAATTCATTTAGTATATTCTATAGTAAGATCAATAATATAATTTTACTATGATACTTATATATTCATGATAGACTATCTGCTAAGCCAATTTTAAGGTGCATATTTCGCCTGGCTTTCAAGAAAGCAATATAAACTACATCGTAACTTTAAAGTTTCAGTGGCTTATTTTCTTTAAAAAATTTATGAATGGATTTCAATAAATGCTTCATCTAATAATACTAGATAAAACAGAATAGCTATACTAGATACGCATTATTTTCTGTTCTGCCGGCTATAAATTAATCAAATATCCTCTATCTACCACTTTACATAATATTGAAACTAGTTAATGGCCATCTCTGTTGATTTGACCTAATCTAAGAAGGATTAGCAATCATTCATAAAAAGCTTAGCTATAATCTAACTCGATGCTAAGTGAAACTAGGTTCACATAAAAAAACGTGTAAAGTTATTGGCTTAATTATATTATCAACTAGCAGTTCCTTTCTAGTGCTCATATAAGAAAAAAATGTATAAGGGTTGATTTCATCCGTTTAGCGTCACTTAGTGTGGATAAAGCATTGATGCAAATTGCCAATTTGATTTAGTGCTACGGTTATCATGATAGTAACCC